TACAGGTACTCCCGATTTCATATCGACTCTGACTTACGCCCACCCGCAGACTTATTTAATGCCTCAGTCGTACTAAAATGTGTCAAATTATGGTATTTTTGAGTCCTGTACACAGACAAAATTTTCATCTATAATTCACTTTAAAATGGCTGGCTTAAAGTGAGTGTTTTGTGGTGCTGAGAAGAAAAGGAGACCCAAATTTTCGATTTTCTATTTGTTATTTAGTTTCCGACTTACGACCTGAATGTCGGTCCCTAACCTCGTCGTATGTCGGGGAGTACATGTACTGTACTTTTATTGTGCTGTATTTCATTTTAGATTTTATATGTATTATTTTTTGCATTTCCGAGTTATGACCTGGATTTGGGTCCCTAACCCCGTCGTAAGTCTGGGAGGAGCTGTACTTAACTTTTTATGAACTAGGCTATATTTTCCTCGTGCAAATTTCAGCTGTTCTGTATTACTGATATGTTTGAAGATAAGAATGTGTAAAATAGCTTTAACAACAGTTTCTCAAAATATACGATATAATTATTGAGAAATTTTGCAAATTAACAATACAGCATCCTGATAAAAGTTATTAGTAGTATAATATTAATATGGAAACATTTATCGATTTTCAATAATTTGCCTCCATCTTACCCGCCACACCGCCACACAGTGTAACTGCAACTATTACGACGGCTACACAATCATGTACACAACACCGTGAGAGTCACGCAGCACAAAAGTAGCGTAAGGAACCTAACAAGTGCTAGAGTGCAACGGCAGGAGGAAGAGGAAGCCCCACCGTTGCACAATCGCCAAGCAGTCATTACATCCCCCATCACCAGGCAGCCATTACATCCTCCATTGCCAAGCAGCCATTACATCCCCCATCACCAGGCAGCCATTACATCCCCCATCACCAGGCAGCCATTACATCCCCCATCACCAGGCAGCCATTACATCCCCCCATCACCAGGCAGTCATTACATCCCCATCACCAGGCAGCCATTACATCCCCCATCACCAGGCAGCCATTACATCCCCCATCACCAGGCAGCCATTACATCCCCATCACCAGGCAGCCACATCCCCATCACCAGGCAGCCATTACATCCCCATCACCAGGCAGTCATTACATCCCATCACCAGGCAGCCATTACATCCCCCATCACCAGGCAGCCACATCCCCCATCACCAGGCAGCCATTACATCCCCCATCACCAGGCAGCCATTACATCCCCCATCACCAGGCAGCCATTACATCCTCCATTGCCAAGCACATTACATCCCCCATCACCAGGCAGCCATTACATCCCCCATCACCAGGCAGCCATTACATCCCCCATCACCAGGCAGCCATTACATCCCCCATCACCAGCAGCCATTACATCCCCCATCACCAGGCAGCCATTACATCACCCATCACCAGCAGCCATTACATCCCCCATCACCAGGCAGCCATTACATCCCCCATCACCAGGCAGCCATTACATCACCCATCACCAGCCATTACATCCTCCATCACCAGGCAGCCATTACATCCCCCATCACCAGGCAGTCATTACATCCTCCATCACCAGGCAGTCATTACATCCTCCATCACCAGGCAGCCATTACATCCTCCATCACCAGGCAGCCATTACATCCCCCATCACCAGGCAGCCATTACATCCCCATCACCAGGCAGCCATTACATCCCCCATCACCAGGCAGCCATTACATCCCCCATCACCAGGCAGCCATTACATCCCCATCACCAGGCAGCCATTACATCCCCCATCACCAGGCAGCCATTACATCCCCATCACCAGGCAGCTATTACATCCCCCATCACCAGGCAGTTATTACATCCCCCATCACCAGGCAGCCATTACATCCTCCATCACCAGGCAGCCATTACATCCTCCATCACCAGGCAGCCATTATCCCCCCATCACCAGGCAGCCATTACATCCTCCATCACCGGCAGCCATACTCCCCCCATCACCAGGCAGCCATTACATCCTCCATCACCAGGCAGCCATTACATCCCCCATCACCAGGCAGCCATTACATCCCCCATCACCAGGCGCCATTTCTCCATCACCAGGCAGTCTACATCCTCCATCACCAGGCAGTCATACATCCCCACACCAGGCAGCCATTACATCCCCCATCACCAGGCAGCCATTACATCCCCCATCACCAGGCAGCCATTACATCCTCCATCACCAGGCAGCCATTACATCCCCCATCACCAGGCGTTACATCACCCATCACCAGGCAGCCATTACATCCTCCATCACCAGGCAGCCATTATCCCCCCATCACCAGGCAGTCATTACATCCTCCATCACCAGGCAGCCATTACATCCTCCATCACCAGGCAGCCATACATCCCCCATCACCAGGCAGCCATTACATCCTCCATCACCAGGCAGTCATTACATCCCCATCACCAGGCAGCCATTACATCCCCCTCACCAGGCAGATATTACATCCCTCATCACCAGGCAGCCATTACCCCCCATTGCCAGGCAGCCATTACACCCCCCATCGCCAGGCAGCCATTACATCACCCATCACCAGGCAGCCATTACACCCCCATCGCCAGGCAGATATTCATCCTTCATCACCAGGCAGCCATTACACCCCCCATCGCCAGGCAGCCATTACATCCCCCATCGCCAGGCAGCCATTACATCCCCCATCACCGGCAGCCATTACACATTGCCAGGCAGCCATTACACCTCCCCCCATCACCAGGCAGATATTACATCCTCATCACCAGGCAGCCATTACACCCCCCATCGCCAGGCAGCCATTACATCCCCCCATCGCCAGGCAGCCAATACAGTACATCCCCATCATCAGGCAGCCATACATGCCCCCCATCACCAGGCAGATATTACATCCTCATCACCAGGCAGCCATTACCATCCCCCATCCCCGGCAGCCATTACATCCCCCATCGCCAGGCAGCAGCAATACATTACATCCCCATCACCAGGCAGCCATTACATCCCCCATCACCAGGCAGCCATTACATCCCCCATCACCAGGCAGCCATTACATCACCCATCACAGCAGCCATACATCCCCCCACCAGGCAGCCATTACATCCCCCATCACCAGGCAGCCATTACATCCCCCATCACCAGGCAGCCACTACACCCCCCCCACCAGGCAGCCATTCATCCAATCGCCAGGCAGCCATTCATCCAACCGCGAGCAGCCATTATATCCCCCATCACCAGGCAGCCATTACATCCCTCCCCAACACCAGGCGGCCATTCATCCCATCACCAGGCAGCCATTATATCCCCATTGCCAGGCAGCCATTACATCACCCCCAACGCCAGGCAGCCATTCATCCCATCGCCAGGCAACCATTCATACCTCCCCCATCGGGCAGCCATTAATCATCCCCATCGCCAGGCAGCCATTACATCCCCATCGCCAGGCAGCCATTACATCCCCCATCGCCAGGCAGCCATTACATCACCCATCACCAGGCAGCCATTACATCACCCATCGCCAGGCAGCCATTCATCCCATCGCCAGGCAACCATTCATACCCTCCCCCATTGCCAGGCAGCCATTAATCATCCCCCATAGCCAGGCAGCCATTCATCCCCACATCACCAGGCAGCCATACATCCCCCATCGCCAGGCAGCCATTCAAACCCTCCCCCATCGCCAGGCAGCCATTCATACCCTCCGCCATCGCCAGGCAGCCATTCATACCCTCCCCCATCGCCAGGCAGCCATTAATCATCCCCCATCGCGAGGCAGCCATTCATCCCCACATCGCCAGGCAGCCATTCATCCCCCATCGCCAGGCAGCCATTAATCATCCCCATCGCCAGGCAGCCATTAATCATCCCCCATCGCCAGGCAGCCATTAATCATCCATAGCCAGGCAGCCATTACATCCCCATCGCCAGGCAGCCATTCATACCCTCCCCCATTGCCAGGCAGCCATTACATCCCCATCGCCAGGCAGCTATTACAGTACATCCCCATCGCCAGGCAGCCATTACATCCCCCATCGCCAGGCAGCCATTCATACCCTCCTCCATCACCCGGCAACCACTCATACCCTCCCCCCATTGCCAGGCAGCCATTCATCCCCCATCGCCAGGCATGTCCCTCCCCTACCCCTGGCGGAAGACACTCCTAAATTTCATCTCTGAGATAATGTTCTCCATCATTATCCTTTCTAACCTTTCACCTGCCAACACTCACTCTTCCTGGGAAACTATCACCGGTAGCGACCTCTATGTTGAGTTCATCAGTGTATGATACTTGTCACCTCACAGTCATCACTGCGTAGGTTAAGTCAATGCTTACTTATGGTGATGGAGTCTCTGTGCCCAACTTCCGAGTATAAAATGCATTTATCTTTTTCCACGTTTCGTTACTCTCAAATTAGGATGAGCAGCACCTTTAAGGGAAGCAAGTTTCTTTTTTCTTCTTCATGCATTAAACATCTAGTTGTGCAGTGCTGGTAAATGAATGCAAAAATAGTAAATTTATGTTATTTTGGAAAAATTAACTATGTAAATGTACTACGCAGAAAAAAAAATGGTGTTCCTAAACTAATAAAAAGTTTTATTTAATAAATAATGGAATATCTCTTTCCACACACACACACATCGCCAGGGTCAGACGAACCTGGCGCTGCTCAGCAGCAGCCACGTCAACTGTAATGTTGGCCCATACCAACTCCCTCCCCTGAACCCTCCTCCCACGAATATAAGAACATAAGAATGGAGGAAACTGCAGCGGGCCTATTGGCCCATACTGGGCAGTCCCATTTACACCCAAACCCTATTGCTCATATGAGCATCAACCTACGTTTGAAACAATTCAGCGTATGAGTTAATGATGATATTTGGTAACTTGTTCCATTCATCCTACTCTGTTCCAAACCAGTGTTTACCTAGTTCCGCTAAATCTAAATTTGTCTAATTTAAAACCATTGTTACGAGTTCGCTCCTGGTTGGATAGTTGACCTTTGTAATGTCCTTTGTTTCCTGCCTTCCTTATACACCTCTATCAGGTCGCCCCGCTCTCGTCTCTCAAGGGAATGCAAATTAAGATGCTTTAACCTGTCTCTATACTCAAGGTTCCTAATGCCCGGAATTAGTCTTGTCATTCTCCTCTGAATTCTTTCCAGGATTCTATATCCATTCTGTTATCACGGTGACCAGAACTCAACTTTCGTAATCCAGGTGTGGTCTCACAAGAGCAAGATACAGTTTTAGGATGACCTCGCTAGTCTTGTAACTAACACTCCTTTGTATGAACCCAAGTACTTTATTAGCCTTTTTAGCGAGCAAAAACACATTGTTTAATTGGCTTAAGGTTCCTACTTATCATTACTCCTAAATCTCTCTACTTGATTTCTCTATGGCATTGTTGTTCATCTGGTATCTGGTTTCCCTGTTTACATCTCCTATACTGAGTACTTTTACATTTGTCGACGTTGAATTTCATCTGCCATTTTCAGACCATTGAAAAATTTGTTTAGATCTTCCTGTAGTTTGCGAGTCCTCGTCAGATTTGATAACCGTCCTATTTTAGTGTCATCAGCAAATTTACTTATGTTGCTGTCTATGCGATATCTATGATGGTTTATGTATATAATAAATAATAATGGTCCAAGTACTGAGCCTTGGGGAACTCCACTTGTGACGTTGCTCCAATGGGACTTAGTGCGTTAATGCTCACTCGCTGTTTCCTGTCCTGTACGCCTAATCCATTTAAGGATGTCACCTTTGATGCCATGACCTTCTACCTTTCTAATTAGTCTTTCGGTGGGACTCTGTAAAGCTTTGCTAAATCGAGATATACCACATCATAATTGTGCCCCTCGTCCACCGATTCAAAACTGATGAAAAGAATGTTAATAGATTAGTTAGGCAAGAGCGATCAACAGTGAAGCCATGCTGGGAATCATTGATCAATCGGTGCTTCTCCAGGTGATTTGAATAGAGTTTGAAATGATTGCTTCCAGTAATTTGCCTACTATTGATGTTAGACTGATTGGGCGGTAGTTAGGAAAGTGATCTATCCTTCTTGAAAATCGGTATTACATTTGCTATCCTCCAGGACTCTGGTACTACACCTGTTTTAATGACATGTTAAACAACTTTGCTAAGGGCATACTAAGCTCTTCTTACATTCCTTTAATACTCTGGCAAATATCTCGTCGGGACCAGGTGACTTATTAGGCTTTAGTTTGTCTATTTGCTTACTAACATCGTTACTAGTCACTACTATCTCACTTAATTTGTTTTCTTCACTATCTCTGAATAGATTCGGTTGCCTTGGGTATCATGTTTAAATTTTCGGTGGTGAAAACTGTTGAAAAATATTTATTCAAATTATTGCTCATTTCTCCGTCGTTATCAGTGAGCTGGCGGTCTGACCGTATTGTTCCAATCTTTTCTCGTGTTTTAGTTTGATACATTTGGTAAATCCTTTGGGGTTTGTCTTTGCCTCCTTGCTATCCTTACCTCATTATTCCTCTTTGCTTTCCTTATCTCGGTTTTAACCCTACTCGCCAATACCCTATAATAGTCCCGGAGGTGAATTCGCCCACGATTTATCCTTCTACCTATAGCCTTCCTTTGGCCAATGATGTTCTTTAAATAATTATTTATCCATTTAGGGTCATTGTTGTCTGATCTGAGTTTTTTGTATGGTAAGGTATGGTATGGTATCAACAAGTTCTCGCCATTAGTTACTACATCATTTGGGAAAGGAATGGAACCAGTGTTGAACAGTAGTGAACAGTGCTTAAGTCAGTGAAAAACAACTCGGCAGTTGAGTCTGAGCCAAGCTAACCTTCACACAGTGAGGTCCCAGGTACCTAGTGATAATTCCCCTGAGACTCCACGATAGGGAGGCCTGGGACCACACCTCACAACCCACGTGGTGTCCCCATTACTGCGACACCACATAGAGAATGAGTTGCTACAGCATAATGTGATTCCTCATTACCATCTGTGAAATTTCTACACCACGTGATGCCTCATACACCATCTGTGAGAATTACTACACCACGTGATGCCTCATAACACCATCTGTGAAATACTACACCACGTGATGCCCTCATAACACCATCTGTGAGGAATTACTACATCATCAGGCCCTCTAACACCATCTGTGAGGAATTACACCTCGTGATGCCCTCGTAACACCATCTGTGAGGAATTACTACACCACGTCAAGCCCCTTCACCACCTGTGAG